TTTTTTGTTTTCTTAGTAATAATAGATTTTTTAAATTATTATTTTCTGTTTCTGTTCTGTTAATGTGTTTCCTGGCACAATCTCTACTCTTCTTCTTAATGAAGGTATAAGCTATTTTCCTTGCATTAATGAAGGCCCTTTAAGCTATATTGGCAGTGTGTGTGCGCGCGCACGTGTGTGTGTGTGCATGTGTGCACATATGCATGCATGTGTATGCGTGCATGTGTGTATGTGTGCGTGTGTGTGTATTCATTATACCAGCAGAACAGATAAAATCAGTTATTTTTTACTTTACCTGTTTAGTTCTCATTTTGGAATCTGGTGACAAATTGTTGTAAGTATAATGAGCCTGCGTGACTCCACAAAAAAGGACTGCAACAATTCCTGAAATTCAAAGAAAGGCCAGTGTTAGCTGCTTCTATATTTTTTCTTACAGTAATCAGGGGGTAGGATCAGTGTACACAAAAAAACTAATTTGACTGTATTAAAAGCTTTTTGTAATAGGGAAATGGTACAGTATATTTTATAATAACATTTTTCAAGTCAGTTAGAATTTGCTTTAATAAAAATCATAGCTGGTCTTTAATTCTCCACTCTCCCCCCACAAAATGAAATCCAGGTATTTTATTTGCCATCTATGGAAAATATAGAATAATAAAACACGATAATCTTATATAAAATCCCTGATCACAATATGACTGACACTTATCCAATACTATAAAACAATTTTAAAATAAAAACAGAAAGTAATAAAATCATGGCATTGGACACAAAGCAAGGAGAAAAAAAATCTTAATTTTACTTCTTCTGAATGCAGTTTTAAACAGTGGGTATGAATGAGTGCACCATGTGAAGGTGATTTGGCTTCTGCATGACTGTTTGTTTTATTATAAGCAGCATGTAACCTGCAAGGCAAACAAATAGTGCTTAAGAAACCATTCCAGTGGGGACAAGTTGTGTCTCCCAGAATGACTGGGTCAGTGACTGTAACCAAGTGGCAGTAATTATCTTTCCCCAGCCTGTGGAAGGTCAGGAGGAGAGAGCAGGAGGAGTAGCTTTGACAGGAATATAATCATATCACCTTATATTATTTTATTTTCAAAGTATCTCTTCCTCTCCTCTCTCCCTGCCTCTAGAATGCTCACAGCCATTGAACAACATATAGTAAATGCAGTATTATGATTAAAATAATCAAACTCATTAAATATCCTATTAACATTGGATATAGATAAACCAAGGGGATCATACTCAGGGGAAGAAAGGAAAAAAAATGAGAAGAGGTCAGTAGTGACTATAAAAAATCTCAGGAAAATTAAGCTTTGCGTTGTTTTATCTTAGATCCTGCTTTGATAGGCAAGAGTTCAGGCTCATGCTCATTGAAAGCCCCTGTCTTCATATCCTGGGGACAATAAAGCCCAAGCCTGAAAGTTTTACTCAGGGTTCAGGTATGAACCAATTTGCAGTGCAGACATAAACTAAGGCCTTTAGACAGGCTGTTTTCTACCCTTTCTGCACACCACCTACACTCTCTTCTACCTGGAAGCAGGGTGGCACTTTCCTAACTCCATCTGATGTTTAACCCCTCACTTTCCTCACAGACTTCTCCAGACCAACAGATAACTGGCAGTTATTTGGGGCAGAGGGCCACTCAGGGAGTTTTGATGAGCTGTTGCAAGCTGGGTCATCACCTCCCCACAACAGCTCACTTTGGGGGCCCTTGCTGGAAGAGCCTAAGTGATTCTGCTCCATGCTGGACCAGGCAGCTGGGATGGGGCTACAGGTGGGTGGGGAGCGGCATCTGGGAATGGGATGGTCGGGTGGGGCCAGGGCTAGGATCACGGGGTCAGGGCTGAAGCCTAGGGCAGAGCCGTGATCTGCTCCCTGCATGGCCCTGTGATGGGCACTGGTTCCGCAGGCAGTGGCATATGGGGAGCTGATTGCGGCTGTGTTCTGGACCCTGGCTCCTCGCTGTCACAGCCTTGCAACTCTGGGGTCTCCATGGAGGCAAGCCAGGACCTGTGCAGATCCGGTCTGCAGCTGGGCAGATGGGATGGGACTGCGAGGGTGTGGGGAGCTGCATCTGGGAGCAGGACAGGCAGGCAGAGGTCAGGGCTGGGATCTTGGAGCAGTAACAGCACAAGGCTGGGACTTGGGGCAGAGCTGCAATCCACTCCCAGCATGCCCCTGCCTGCAGAATGAGCACCTGTCGCAGGGACATGTGGACAGTGGATCACAGCTCTGCCTCGGGCCCTGGCCTGGTGCTG